CTCAAACTGCTTGGTACGAACTTGGATCATTTAATACTTTTGCATTGTGTGTGTTATAAGTTAGACCATGAGGATTTTACCAAACATGGGACGTGTTTTATAAAAAAGGCATATGAAGAAGGGGGCGCAGTAGCCATTTATAGTTGTAAGGATACAGCCCGAGATGCCCCGATAGTGACAAGTGTAAGACCAACTACTAATATGCATGTGGCACGCCAAATACGAGCATTATAAACGTGTAACTCTTTTCAGAACAATCAAGATGCTAAGTGCAAGGTGCATTAAAGTCGAGGAAATTTGAAGCACCGCTTGAAGGCCTCCGAAACGCTGAATGACGCCTATCTGGTTCCGAGGCCCAAATGTCACTAAAGTGTCAGCTGCATCCATGATCATGGTGTGCAAGAGTGGAGAGCATAGGAGCATGCATAAAAGGTGGAATGTTAGTCACTCATGGTGCTGTATTCAAAATAACTATAAAAATGGGAAGAGGAATCATTATTACGATAAGATTGTTTGTAGGTAGCGCATTACTAGGTAGTAATTGGCAACTTGCAAGTAAACTGAGCAGAAGCATAGTCCTAAGAACAGGCGATATTTGTGGGAACAATTGAAGAATACAAGCGATAGAGTGTAGACGTTGGTGTGCTTTCTAATGCATTACTGCAGACGTGAAACATGAGCAATGCTGCAGAGTCTCAGCTTGAACTCTGCGGGAATCGAACGCAGTAGCAAGCCCACACCGTAATTCGAATCCATTAGTGCATCGAAACAAAAGGCATTCCTCACTGCTGTTTGGAAATCGATGCACAGTTCTGCAAAGGTCATTCAAAATATTCGGTGGGAAATTGCCAATCTGGGAATTCGTTTAAACGGTGTCTAAAAAGTGCTCATATTTGTATGCGTGAAAATATTGTTGCATTAGAGATAGGGGTTTTGAAAATGGGCAATAATTGTACAAGTGTGCGAATGATCCACAGACAGAACACTTAGGGGAAGTATGTATTGTGGACAT